GGTTTTTATGTGTGAAGTTTTCTTAAAGAAATGCCCAAGAGAACTCTGGCTGAAGTGAAATATCCACATAAAGCTATCGTGGTCTTAGATCTTACTATGTTTCCCTATCCTACCAGATCCAAAATATCAGACATTTTGAAGAAGGGGCTATTTTTCCATGCATCTTTGGGACCTCTGGCATTCCATGTAGTTTCCATAAACATTCTCTTGGGTATTTTTGGAACCAAAAAGAATGAATAGGATTAACTTATAATTTTGCTAGAAGAAAAAAATGAATAATCACTTTCTCTCAGAGATGATTTTCAATGTGCCAGGAAGCAGGACTGACTGTGATGTGTTAGGCCCGTTCCCCAACTGAGACATAGGTGGGTGCTTCCCCCGTGCTGGAAGGGAGACGTGGCCCAGATGAAGGAGGTGATGCCCTGACATTCCCGGTCTTTGGCCTCCTTCACAGACCAAGAGAGCAAGAGACTCCAGGAGCAGCCCCTTCCCAGGATACTGTTGCTTTTGGGAAGCTGACATCTAAGGGAAAGGGACCTGCCAAGACATCTTGGTTTCTTCTCCGAGGGGGAGGCAGTGTGTACCAAGAACTGGAAATCCGGTACTTTCTTCTCTTTCATTAATCATTCAATCCACTCATTCATCTGAGGACCTAACCTATGACGTGCCAGGTGATCATACACTGTATTAGGTTGAATTACTTGAAATTGCAGTTTTATAGGTAAGAAACAGGAATATTGGCAATTTCATATGGTTAAACCTACTACTTCAAGGGTTTCCCTAAGCTAGTGTTACTAGGTTTTTCTTCTGATGGTATCAAAGAAAGTGTAGAGATCCCAGCCACGATTTGCTATGGGAGTCTGGGTATGCCTGGTTCCCTTCCAGAAAGAGGGTGGGTACCATTCTCCAACGTACACATAACGGTGTAATATTTGGTAACTTTACAGAGGAATGAACCCTTGCTTTATATTGGCTTCTCCCAGACACCCCTCTATGCAGAAGCAGTCTGGGGCTTGGGCCACACGGCCCTCACTCCTTTCCTTCAGTCCTCTAGGTGCTGCTCTGCAGTGTAGAGAGGCAGCAGCCTTAGACAAGCAACTCAAAATAGCAAAATGAAGGCAATCTCATTTGCGTTTTTCTCGTGCATATGCCACTGGAGCAAGTGTACCCAAAATTCAGTTGCAAAGATATCCTCACAGACAAATCAACACCAATTATGAAATTAAATGATTTAATGATTAGTTAATTTTGTTTAACAAATACCACCCCCCCCCCAAAAAAAATCTGTCATCTTACACTCTGGGCCAAAGGAGATACCTAGTGTCCCTTCACTAATTTAATTAGGAGTAAGATGCTTTCTCTCCCTTTTATTCAACTTTTTCTTAACCAGACTCTTTGATAACATGACTAACGTAGTGTAACCTAGTACCAAATTGCAGAGTATGAAGAATAATCAAGAAGAATAAGATCAAGTATAAAATATAAAACCAAGGTTCTGGGACACTTTTTATGCTGCAGATATATGGTATGCGCTTACTAAATGATTACGTTTACTCAACAGTAGTTACCAGAACAATCTCAGTAGCTACCAACAGGGCAACCTTTTTGGCCATGAGCAACCAAGTGAACATTAACCACAGTGGCCAGTGACGGGAGACCAGGGTTTCTCAACCTTGGTACTGGTGACATCTGGGGCCAATCATTCTTTGTTGTGGGGGACTGTCCTGTGCATTGTAGGATGTTTAGCAGCGTCCCAGCATCTACCCACTAGATGCCAGGAGCCTTCCCTCTGGTTGAGAAGCACTGGGTCAGATACTCCACAATCAAATGCAAACTGAATGATTTGTGAGGGGAAAGAGCAGTTTCCTGGAGGAACAGCCTGTGTCAGCTTCACAAACCAGAAGAAAGCCTAGAGGAATGGTCTAAAGAGAGGGTATTACGGAGAGAAACAGTTTTATAGAGTATTATAGAGGATTACCCACCTTGACAATTGTCTCCCTTCTAGCCAAACTCAAGGCTGGAGAAGAAACATTGGCTTATACAGGTGAAGGGGTCCTGGGCAAGAGATGGGACTTGCTGCCTCGGTTGTTGCTCCACAAGGGGTGGGGGGACAGTGACAGAGATCTCTCCGCCCACCTCTAGACCTTTGCATGACATCTTTGCCTAGAATAGCCACTTCTCTTCCCAGCTTCATCTGGCTCCTACTTATCCTTCAGGTCTCAGCTTAAATAGCACTTCCTCTTGGAAGGGTTCTGTGATCCCCTCCCTGCAGCTGCCCTCCCCTGCCCCATCTGCTCTGATGTCCTGCTCAGTGTTGCCCGGCATCCACACTTCCCCTAGCACAGAACTTATCACCTGATTGCACACACACCACTTATATGTACATGGACTGCAGTAGTTTGGATTTCTGCTCATTCCTCCCATTAGAACTTGAACTCCATGAGGATGGGGACCCTGTTTTTACCAACTCAACAGCACACTCTCCCCAGAACCCAAAGGGGTGTCCACACCTGGTGGATCGCTCTAAAATATCTGCTGAATTGACAAAGGAAATCACTTTTCCACTGAATGGCAGAGGAGGACCAATAAGCGAAGTTCATGAACAGAATCAAACATGTGGTCATCGTGGCAAACAGTTTCATCAATGTGTACACTGGTTTATTTCTGCAAAGGCAACGAGCCTGGAGTGTGCGAGGCAGAAACGGATGGTGAACAACAGTGTAGAAGAGTGAAAGTTTCCATCTTTACCCACATATCTTTTGGATCTTCAACAGACCCTTATTATGATCCATCTTTTGGACAAATGTTTTGTACCCTGAGTCAAGTCACACACCTGTTAATGTATCAATAGCATATTCCAACGGCCGGATGAGACAGTTAACTGCTAAGCTGGGTGGCAGTTCTATTCTTCAAAACCAGTATTATAAGGGACAACTGTTTACATGTTGATCAGGAAGGGGTGGGTAGCAAGGTAAGAGGGAGGGCCGTTCAGAGAACACTCAGTGAGGATCTCATGTCTGTATTTCAAAGAGCACACGTCATAATGGACACGTGGGCAGCAGGCCACATCTAGTCTGTTCGCCTCCCCATCACCACTGCCAGGCTCCAACATCAAGAACACAGAGACATTTCCGTCTAACTTTTATATGAAGAATTTAATTATCTATACACATAACTAATTCAAAAGGTTGTATTACAGTTGTTAAAGCCGCAGGTTTATATATTTATATATTTTACATTCATATCCATGAAAATACTGCAGCGCAAGGGAACGAGGAGGAGCGGTCCTTGTTCTCGGCGCCACGTGAGTGGAGAAGGACCTCGACACAACCGCCAGCACGGAACCTCCGCAGGGAGAGGCGGCAACACAGAAGGTAACTACAGGTTAAAAGGCATTAGTAGGACTGGTAGGTTGTGCTCGAGGCTTCCCTCACCCTGTCTTCTGTGCTGTCAGCAACAGGCATTTTTATTGAGAGCTTCCAACTAGCATTTACAAGACAAACATGGCTTCAGCTACCACATCTAACACGTAAACGGACCACGAGCTCCGTTCCATATTAATCTGTAGAAATCCCATAGTCTCGTTAAAAAATGTAAACATTGGAAATTAATTGCAGGGAGACTTCTATACATTCTTTCTTGTCAAGAAAATTACTTGTTCAAAATAGGTCATTCCATGAAAAGCAACTGGAATAAAACTTCATGTCACAGAGACTAAGCAGAGATGGTAGAGACTGTTGATCAGAACCACCTCAACGGTGTTGACTATTGATGTGTGGTACGAACACACGCAAAATTAAAAACCCAGAACAGAAAACACCAACTCAACTAGATAAATCTGAGACCGAGCAAAAACACAGGTGCTTTCGCATGTGGCTACAGGGTCACTGTGCAAAATAAAATTAACGCAATATGATTAGAGCATCGTACAAGATAATAGCTTTTGCCGTGGAGAAAACGAATTTCTTATGTACAGGATGTATTATTACATGCTCAACAGGTACATCTGATACACACACAAGCACAAAACACCTTCTCTTTAATTGGGCTCATTCTACACGTCTTTAAAACAGATATACTGAACACCTCTGTACTTCTATGGTAGGGGAAACACCCAAACTACACAATTTAGTTGGTAACACTGGACAAAATGAAAAAATACATCAAGTCTCAGATTTATGGACATTTGGAACATTTTTTAATAGCACATGCAGCATTCTTTGATAGTGGGTCTTTTTGCAAAACCAAAATAGCAAAGAAGTTATTTTTTTTATTAAAAGGCTAAAATATATATTTTAAAATAATTTTAAAACTACTGAAAGCACCTGTGCCAAGGTGGGGGAAAGTCAATTTGTCACTAGGAAAGCCACAAAAGGACCCACTACCCTGTATATTTTTGTAACTTTTGCTTCTATCTCTGTAAGTAATAACTCGACATTGCCATGACATGCAACTAAGGTAAAATGAGGTAAACTGCTCTGCAGTGAGTTCTTCTACTCAGAAGGCAGTAGGTGATCATGCTGGAAGTCACATGATCAAGGCTGCATCTCCCATCATCCCTCTGGGCAGTGATATGGGATAGTGGGTCTCTTTGAGGACTTTCAAGCCTGAGGGGGGGATGGACAACATATGATTCCTAGAAAAAGGAGGAAAACAACACATAAGCAAAACAAAACAATGAGCAAAATTCAAGCTAGGAAAATGAGTCAGGCATGTAAACAGCATGGTGCCAAAATGATTAAAAAAAAAGAAAAGAAGAGAAAGGGGGAGGGGAGGGAGGGGACATGCTACAGAAGGAATGAAAAGAAAAAAACAAAAAACAACAAAAACCCCACGAGATAAAGTCTTGCATTACAGAAGGTCTTCAAAGAGACTGTTGCGAATGCAGCAATGGTCCAGCTTTCCGCTCTGCAAACAAAGCTCAGCAGAGTCAGAGCAATGCCGCACGCTGACCGCGAGATACCAGAGAGGAGAGGCAACGAAGCCGCCAGGGCACTTACATTGCTGGCTTGGGTCCATGTCCGTGGTCAGCTTCACGTAATTAGATGGGAAGAGCCCCACTTGTCCGTTGACTTCTCCTTTCCACCAGTCAGGGTCCTCCTTGTTGAGGACGTTGATGATCTGGCCCTTGTTGAAGGCCAGTTCGTCGTCGTTCTGGGCGGTGTAATCGTACATCCCGATCACCTGGCACACTGCAGGAGACAGGGCCGGGTGAGCCGCCGCACAAGGGGCAACTGGGGGTCATTAGATACTCTCATGTGGGGTCGGCCCGGTGGCGCAGCGGTTAAGTGCGCTCGCTCCACTTCGGTGGCCCGGGGATCGCAGGTTCGGATCCTGGGCACACACCGACGCACCGCTTATCAAGCCATGCTGTGGCGGCGTCCCATATAAAGTAGAGGAAGACGGGCACGGACGTTAGCCCAGGGCCAGTCTTCCTCAGCAAAAAGAGGAGGATTGGCAACAGACGTTAGCTCAGGGCTGAGCTTCCTCACACACACACAAAAAGATACTCTCATGTGTTATGTTTGTCCCTTCCAAAGAGGGCAAAATGAAGTGGAGGGGCTCTGATGGGCTTTGTGCAGTGTGGGCAACAGAGGAAGATGAAGGATTAAAAACCAAGACAACAGCAAAAATTCTAAGTCTTTGGTTTTTATAACGTCGTCTTCTTTTTCATGTTTACTTTGTCAGCAGAAAATGTACAATGATAATTGAAGGCTTCCATGGAATCATTTCTATTTGAGTGCAGGGGAACTCCTTCAAAATGCTGACTCCAAAAGATCGGCCCAACTGCACAGGACAGCTGTGTATCATGGGGACTTGACTATAGTTGTTTTTTTTTTTTTAAGGTGGAAGGTAATTATCATCTGACCTCAAAAACTCCAAACCTGAGCAAAAATCAAAATCAGTTTTTTATACCGCTGTTTCTTTGCATCTCAAGGTTTTGTCTCAAAGAAAGAAATTTCCACATTCAATTTTTTCCCCAATTTCCAAATCTCCAAAATGCAAAATTTTCCAATACAATTATTCTTTTCTCATTTTCCCCCAAACCTATAGGTTAAACTGTTTTCATTCTGTGGCATTTTTACATGTCAGATAAGTCTGCGTAGTTAGGATGTACCGCCAATTAATCTTTCTTAATCAACCTATAAATAGGTTTAGGTTTTTCAAATTCTCCAGGTAATTCAACCACTTCAGCAAATTATTTCTGTGGGTTTCAACCAACCTGATGAAGGGGACACTGCCAGCCCTCCTTAAAAGAGAGGAGATCCAGCTGGCACCACACCCCTCTGCCCACACGAGGCCACAGCTCAAGCAAAGAGGCCCAGCTGGGGTCGGGAATCAGTCAGAGTTTGCCAATCCTCTCATTTCCTGCGAAGGCTGCCAAGTTCTAATGTTATTTCACTGGGGATGTATAGCATAGACATATAACCACAAGCTACCGGAATGAAAATTCTGCATTTTCCACAAATGCCACCCAAGAACTAGTGGCTTAAAGACCTAAAGCAATACTCTGCTCCCCTAACCTCGCCCATCTCAAAGATTACTGAAGCATCTAATTTGGTCTCTTCAGTCAGAAAATAGCCAACCGGCTCAGCTGCAGGCCCTCTGTTCTTTTTTCGTCCTTTGGGAGAGTGCGTGCAACATCCTGCCCATTAAGCGAAGCCCCTCTGTTCGCAGGAAATGTCACAGGGGAGTTATTTTAGTCTTCAGTGAGCAGCACGTTACAACCCACAGACCCCGTGGCCTCCAGCTCAATCTCCTGACCTATGTAGACCCCAGCCACTTATTTTTAGGAGTCCCTTTTTGTCCCCTCACCCTCTAGCCCAAATCCCCACTTAAATAGCTGGAAGGAAATCAAGAGAAAAATCTGGCTTTAAGGCCACAGCATTCATAACTCCTTTAGGAAAAGAGTTCCAACAAGGGCTCTGTTGTGCCCAGCACAGCAAAGCCGCTGAGATATTTGGTCCTTTTGAGAAACATATTCCATATCACATGAGCTGGGTGTCAGCCCCAGCAAGCACGAGAGGTGCTCACAGCAGATGTGAAAGGCAATCTCAGATACATCAGGAGAAAACTGGGTGGAAAGACCCGCACGCCACACAAACCATTTTCCACGTAGAGACTGTACACTGCTCACCTGCGGAGACTGCCGTCGGTTTCGCTGGCTCAGTCGGAGTGATTTTGCTTGTCCCAGGGCTTAAAAGCTTCACATAATTAGCAGGGAACCAGCCTATCTGCCGCTTTTTCCCACGTGCCTAACAAAAGAAAAAATTACATCAAAATGTTTAAATGGTTCATGTTCTTTCATGATACAGTTTGCTTTGTAACAGAGCTCAAGTTTACATATAACTGAAAAGCAAATGGCATTAACAGTAAAATCAATGGATTACTATATTACAAAATGAAAATATTGTAGCTGAAATTCAAATTGTGGCAGTCACTGGTCAGCAAAGCCTGAAATGTTTTTGCATGGGCTGATGGAATGGACCACAATTCAGGGTACAATGCAGTGTGTATAGGATAGAAAACTCTACTCATGGGACGTTAGCTCTCAGCTGTTAATTTCAGGTAATGCAGAGATTATGGTTAATGCTGATATTATATATGGATTTTAGGAATAATAATAATTAATAATAATAATAATAGCAGTCAACACTTATTGGGTGCTTTTTATGAGCCAGGCCTGTGCTAAGCACCTTATCTGCATGACAATTCCAGAAGGATGATAATATTACTATTCCCGTTTCCCAGATAAAAAAAGTGAGGCTCTGGGCCAGCCAGGCAGCACAGCAGTTAAATTCACACACTCCGCTTCAGCGGCCTGGGGTTCGTGGGTTTGGATCCCAGGCACAGACTGACACACCGCTTATCAAGCTATGCTGTGGCGGCGTCCCAAACAAAGCGGAGGACAATGGGCATGGATGTTAGCCCAGGGCCAATCTTCCTCAGCAAAAAGAAGAAGATTGGCAACAGATGTTAGCTCAGGGCTAATCTTCCTCAAAAAAAAAAAAAAAAAAGAGAGAGGCTCAGAAAAGTGAAAATCCCAAAGTTACAGGCTAGTTAATGACAAGCCAAGATTCATACTCATGTCTGCGCTCTTTCTGTGGATAACAGACAACTGTAGACATAAGGCAATGTACACACAATAGATATAGAACACAAGGAGTCTAGACTTGACATTGTTTTCAAAGGCCACCAGGCCTACGTGATGACCACAGCCACACTCTTCACTGCCATTCGTTTCTCCTTGACTTGAATCTAATTCAACACAAGATCCACTCACGTAGAGTTCGCACACAGGTGTTGTTGGAAAGGGATAGTACAGGATATGGAGGAACTTATAACAAAGATGGTGAGCGGAGCCTCGCAATCAGGACACAATTGTATGAGATGGAAAAGACTCTAGTTAGGGTTCATGAGAAGTCATAACTACGCTTCTGCATACCAGCAGGAACAGAGAACTCAACACAATTTACACATGTGTACGTGCATACACATGTGCGCACATGCCCTCTCACACACACACACACACACACACACACACACACACGATATCTCTAGAAGCAAGGCTCTCATAAAAACAGTTCCCTTTGGGGACAGGGGTGGAAGGGAGACATTTGAATCCCCTTTTGTAACTTTTGAATTTTAAACTATGTGAACATATTACCTATGCCAAAAACAAGGAAATAAAATTAAGAGAAAAGGAATCTTTTGCCATCTTTCCTCTGCCTTCCCGCCTGGCAATTTGTCAAGAAGGATACTTCTGGCTTACTTTTAGAACGCAGATCAAATTTCACTTTCCCTGTGGTCTGACAGACTTCATGCCCTTGGCTCAAGGACCAATGCTTTTATTTTTGCAGTGAATCTGCTGATGATCGACGCCACTCATGTACAAGTCCCCACATGCATATCTATCTAGCATCCTGCCATAAGGCTCAAGTGACTCCACTATTTCCCCCACCCCTGCTGTTTCACAAGGGCAGAATGCAGAGTTCACTGGCAATTCTCTCATTTGTGTGTCCACCACGAGAGAAACCCTGGTTCAGGCACCAGAAGCCCTCTGGCTATGCAATTTACCCACTTTACTGCGGATTGCAAGAACCACTCAAAACTCTCTTTTCAACAAGGTACTAGGAGTGTGAGGATGAAAAACCATGGTTGCTGCCTTCAAGGAGCTGATAACCTACATGCGGAAATAAGAAATATGCATGGAAAGCTAAACAATAATACCGGCATCAATATTAAATACCCAGAGTGGTGCAGGCATTAGGGCCACCATAGTTTAAGGGAAGGAGATGTCACTTCTGGTGTGATGGTCACAGAAAGCTTCCGGAAGAAGTGGGATTTGGCCAGCTCTTGAGGAATGGGAGAGAGGTGGGACCACCACTTGAGGAGACATGTGATGAGCAAGGCAGCGAAGCACAAGGGTCTGGGGTGTTGACTGTTCTCAAGAGAGCAGATCACCAAATGAGGCTGGAGTGGAGATGTCCTCGATGAGGGGTAAGACTGGTAAGGTGTATGGCTGATGAGGGAAGGAGGCACTTGTGGGAAGCTCTCGCCAGCAGGCTGAGGAGGAAGAGCAGTGGGAGTCACTCAAGTCTTCAGAAGAGGAGAGTGACCTATGGCTCAGAAGGCCAATTAGGGGACGACAGCACGACTCTACACAGGGAATGCAACCCACCGGTCTGAAGAAGGCTTCTCCTCACCCAGTGAAGGAGCAGACAGGTTAAAAAGAAGAGTGGATCCCGAGATCCCAAAGGTCAGATTCCTGAGCCAGTAAGATGTATCTGGTCAGCCCGGCTGGACAGCGTTTTTATGGCTGCCCAGCAGCGAGCTCCCCAGGGGAAGTTTCACCTTTGCTCCACTCCAGGGTGTGCCTTCCATTCTGGCCACGATACATTTCTTCAGTCCACCAGCTCACTCTGTACTCTTCTGACACTTTATTTTTTAATTAGCTGCCCCATATGCACAGAAAGGTACCATTCCTTTCCTCAGCTCACCACAATACAGACCTTTCCCTCCTTGACCAAGGTTTGCCTGAACAAAACAGTGAACTGAGGACGGACACACACACACACACGGGAACTAAAAATGTGATATAGCCGTGTGGCTTTGAACGCAAAGCAGCCTGCTACTATACCACACCTTATAATGCCACTGATGGAAAGTTCTGCTTCTACAATACCATGACACTGAAGGATGACTCTACACAGGTGTCCATCGTCAGGAATTCTCACTATCCCAACATTCACTATCTGAACTCAGGAACCAAACGGATTTGGAGAAATCTTCAGAAGAATCCTTAGCTCTCCAATTCTGCTACTGGCTGTCTGAAGCTTAGGACACAAATAGATTCAGATAACGTGGTATCTCTTGCTCTCCAAACACAGGATTTAGGCAGTGTGGGGTTATTGGTACTTTGCAATGAAATCACGGCCCTTTGAGATTTTGTGTATTCAAATTTGGACAGAGAATTTTAAACAAATGGAAAAGACACTAACTTGAAGCTCTCCTTCCCACCATCCACCTGGGTTCTTTTTTCGGATCAAAATCAGCTGACCAGGGGCCAGGGTAAGCTGCTCCGGACCAGTAGCAGTGTAGCAGGCAATAACCTGGGCGATTTCTGAAAGACAAGATCAAACATTGTGGTGCACTGTTAGAGTCAGGAGAAGGAGATGCGAAGGAGACACAGCCACCTCCCACGCTCACAGATTAACATCATCAAAGCCCATGTATTGGGGCTGGTTCTCTAAAAGGCTTGATCACCTGCTGTTCTATGACCTACAGCGCAAATGCAGCGGTCGGGGGCTTGATCTTTTGGTTCTGCCCAGTCTGCTCTAGCAGTCCCTCATCATCTCTCGAACTTACCAACTTCCCTCCACGATCCCCCTCCTTCCCCCAATTCCCGCGCACCTTCTGTCCCAGCCGCTCCCACAATTACCGTGAACACCCTGAGGCCGACAGCTGGGCCTCATTGCTCTCCACCCCACCCTCTGCCCCCACACGGTGCTCAGCGCACAGTACACTCGAGTGTGGTTGGTGAAGAAGGGACCTCATGAAGCTCTTGCACCCGCCAAGCACAGTAAAAGAGAAATTCCAGTTTCTCCAGAAACCGTCGGGAGCGTGGCACTGGCTGATTCAAATTTGTGACTTTAGACTCTCACCCCATCCAAAGACCACTTTCTCTGGGGCTCACATTTTGAGGGTGATCCCTGAATATCACGTAGGAATCACATCAGTGCAAGTTACTTCTTTTTATTTCGAGTTAAAGGAGGAACCTGGAGTTAAGATGGGGATTTTATACAAAAACAACAATTTAGCACAGAAAAGAATGTAAAGAGTTCTGTACTTTTCCTGAATGTTAAAAATCTCATGGGAAAAATTTCAGCAGTACCACAGACCAGGCTCTGAAAAGCACATTCCTACTGGCACAGGAGGTGGAGCATGAAAAGACAAAATCCCTCTCTGACTGAATGCTGGTGTGTCTGCAGCGAATGCTTTCTGAACTTCTAGAAGTTCACAGAACTAGAAGTGACACAGAACTAACTGTTCTATTCCTCTATGCTCTCTGCCCATCATAATCGTTCTTGACAGGGAGAAAGGAGTGAGGTAAAGGTAGATAGAAAGAAAGAAGAGAGGTAAAAGGCTCCATCCTCTGACAGTACTTCCTACCTCTCTAAGAGGCACATTAGCAACCCCCTATTCCCTGCTCTGCAGTCAGCAGCCAGCCGCCATGCTGGGAGCACTAGGCCCCCATGATGCAGGCCTGGCCCTGCCAGATGCTTCTGAGAGCTGAGGGGAAGCAAGAAAGAGCCCAGATTACATACCCCTTGGCTCTACTGAGCGCTCTTCCTAAGAAATCTGTGCTGGGGCTAAGAATTCTCCCCAACACACCAAGGACTAGCTTTAGAGTCTAAGAGTTTTCGGTTTGGAGAAAGTCCAAATTAGTGTCCTATTTGGCCTCAGATGTTCCTACTCCTCAAAGGACCTGGCAGGCGTAGCCAGTGATCTGCCCCGACATTCTTTTCTGTCTTTTGTGTTCCTGAGCAGCTCCCTGGTTTCAGTGCAAAGTTAAGTCCATCTGGACCCTTTGGAATGACAACTTAAAATGTAGAATACTCACAGTTAGAGATTTGACCCAGGTCGTCCAATGTCTGAGTCTGACTAAAATCCTACAACAACCTGAGAGCCCACTATTCCTGGCCAGGTAAGCCCATCAGGAGCTGAGCACCAGACACAGATACGCACAGCCCTCTCTCAGCATAGCGCTGACTCTTCCCAACCTGTAATTTCCTAAGGATATAACAGCAAAATGGCTCCGATGACCTAGATGAGGAAGTCGTGCAGTACCAACCATATCATTTCACATCTGCTGCTTCCCTCTTTCATGCTTCTATGTATAGAACATGTGATTTTGTTTAAATAAACAAAAACACTTTGAATTCAGAGGGATGACTATAATTTTGTACCTTCAATGTGTACCTGAGGAAAACCACCCAGTGGCTTCTAAATTAATAGCACCTACACTCTGATAATATTTGTCACTCCTCTAATCTCCACTATTTATGTCCTGGGACTGAATGTGCTGTCAGAAAAGGAAAAAGGGCTTCCTGAGCCTAATAACAGGATGACTAAGCAGCAGTGACCCCAAGCCTACAGCTCCATGCATCACAACATCCCACCATCTTGCCTGAGTTATTTCTTCACGACCCAAGAGGACATTCTGTCTGGTAATGTCCCCACTCCCCGTGTGTGAAGCTAGAGCCATATTTTATAACCATATATACATTACTAATGGATCTCAAGGAAAGGATCTACTCCAACCACTCTGAGGAAACATTCTTTTGTCTTTTTTTTAGGCTTCTGGCCCTAATAAAGATTGGGAGCAACTATCAATTACATTGAAAACATTGAAAAATAAGCATCAGGGTTTGTAACTTACCAGGTTTTTTTCCTAAACTCCCTGTTTTCCCAGCAGTTCCAGAGCCCTTAAAACAGAGCAAAAGGTCTCATTTGCATACTGAAGAGTTTTGGTCATGCAACTTAAAAAATGATTAGTGATGACACAAACCCACCTGAGCCCCTGAATCCCCCTTTTCATTCTGGGAAACACAGTACCACTGTATCTCCTGACTTTAGGATGGATACCAGGAAAACACGCGACAAAGTAAGTACTTTAAAGCATGCAGCTTTTACTCTCTTTAGAGAAAAATCAGCCAAGTACGTGGCGCTATAGGACCCAGAGGGCTCAGATATGACTGCGTGCGGCACAGGCGTGTCCTATCCCTGGGTAGAATCAAATGGGGGGCCACGCTAGGAAGACCACTAATCTAGTCCTCAACACTAAGCTCATGCTTTATGCTCAAATGGTTAATTATTAAATATTTCACACATAAAAAGCATAGAGACTCTAACAGACATCCATGAGCCCAATACCCAGATTTAAATACATGAAAATATTAATATTTTGCTACATTTGCTTTAGAGCTTTCTTTTTTTTAAAAAAACCTAAACAGTACAGTGGCAATTCAAACACCTGTTTCTCCATCCCCTTCACCTCTTTATCCAAAGAGGCGGCCGCTCTCCTGTGTATCCCTTCCACCCCAATCTTACACTGTTTAAACACTGCTCTATCAACGCTGCATGCACAATCCATAGAAGCAGACCAGATTTTTTCCAACTATTAAGTGTTCCAAAAGTGCTCTGGGGTTGAATTCCTTCATGGATACTCATGGAATTTTAAACCAGCTGAGTAACCCAACAGAGACCTTGAGTCAGGACAGGGGCCAGACTGTAACCTGTCATTACAAAGGGCTTTCTTCTGAATTAATTTTCACCCCTGCATCCCTATCTTTCAGTTAATTAAGTATCCCAATTAAAACAAAACAAAAGGCATAAGAAACTAAATGAGAGTTACTGTAAGAATAAAAATATATAATTTATCTACCAGGAACACAACTTATCATAGTCCCTTTATTTTGGTCACTGAAATTTAATAACCATTTAACAGGGAAGATTGAGTTAAAATTTTTACTCTGATTGTGCTTTCTGTATTAACAAAGTTATACAATACCAATCTCCCTGGCTATTTTTACAGGCTATGTATCAAAATATAGAAATTCTAATGAAACAAGATTCCAAATGACCAGTTACTTTCCCAGTACAGGCTTACAAGACACTCCCTATATTCCATAAAAAGAACAAAGCATTTGACAACATCCAATGATACAGTTCAAGCAGCTTCAATGTGCCCTCTTTTGAATACTACAGTCAGCTCATAAGCTAAGACGTGTACAGAAGGCCAGCTTCTGTCCTGGCACTCCTCAGGACTGCGGGAGAAAAGCTGCCCCAGGCTACGTGCCCAGCCCTTCTCCCACAGAGAAGGTAAGCAAGGCTAGCACAACCTCTCCCAGGCCCACAGGCAAGCATGGTATCTGAGGCTGGGTCTGGTTTTACGTTTGGCAGGCTATTTTCCTCATACTTTAACTCTGTGTCCAAGTCAGATGAAAAAGCTGACGTTTTAGATTTTTTTCATTATTATGAAATATAATGTAGCTAAATGTTTGTCCAAAGTCTTCAACACTGCTAGTTCTTCTGTGGCTAATAATTTAAGACTGTGGTTAAGAAGGCACCTTACAACTCAGCTTACCTTTAAAATATGTCACAGTATATTTATTTTTTAATTTGCTGACTTCAGATGGTTTTTTATAGAAAACTATAATTAATTAAAATGTTTTACAAGCAATGGCTTTTGCGTTTTAACTGATCCAAAAGGTAAAGTCACTTAAGAGTTTTCGTGCCTGGTAGTACAAATCGAGTATTTTTCCCTACTTCCCTGAAATATCATCTGTGTGATTCTTATTGGATCCAACTGGCTGGCCTGGAGAAGAGCTTAATTCTCCCTCTCCAGGTCTGCAGAGGGACCCGCTGTCTTATGGAAGAAGTACTTTCTTCCCAGCTTCTGCCAAATTCTCCAAGGGTAGGCAGTCTTATGCAAATCCCTCCAGGGGAATTTCAGCAAGCTGCTCTCAAGACCACAGCAAGGGAAAACAGAAAAACAAAAACAACAATAATGACACTGCCTAAAAAAATAAACCCAAGCGAAATAAAACTATTCCTGGGAACTGTAGGTGGTACAACCACTGCACCATGTCACCAGGCCCAGCCTCGCTCCCCAAGTGGGTACTGGGGCCTGTGGGCGAGCCCAGGTCCACCCTCCTACCGGCATTCAAATGAGGCAGAGCAAGCTTTGTCCACTCGCTTACATAGGACAAAGCGGCCTCTTTAGGTGTTTTACCAGCCTCTTCCCTTCGTGCCTAGGAGGTATGAGGAGAAAGAGAAAGTAACTGAATTGGCTGCCTAGGCTTAAAAAAATTAAAAAAAAAAAAAAAGAGCCAATTCTTGTTGGTTTATTTATGTATAATGGATGCGTTACATGACTACATTTACACCCTGAAATTCTTCACTAACCTGAAATTGGCCACTACAAGACGGGCTCCCATATTCTGGTAGGCCCACCCCACCATTTCATTAAACTTGCACTATCTCAAGACCACATGTTATGCAACTGAATTTTTAGAGCCCCACTTAACAACAATGGAAGCCATTTCTAATTTATAAGGATAACAGCATTTAAAATAAATTCAGACCCCAATCAACGGAGATACTAAGGTGTAGCCAAAAGTGTACCTACCAGTCTCATAGATCTTGAGTCACCCTACTGTTTAGGCAAAAATATAAATTTTAGAAACTCTCTACTGCCCAATATTCTGGGGCCAGTATCACCAAATTACTTTTGTTTACATGGGCAAAATATTTGCTGTGTATCTTTCCCACACAGCAAGTGTGTGTGAAAGTATCCCAAGTCAGTGACCATGAAGACCTAATCAAGAACATTTACTCCAAATCCTAAGTCAGTTACATGCAGGAATAGAGATAAATACTGAATGTTAGTTATCCCAGCTGATGCAGACCAGCCTCATTACAGGCAGCCTCCACTTAGCCCCGGGGAGTTCTTCTACTTATGGGAAGCCAAGGCTTACCCTGTAGAACCAAATGACAAGTTCAAGCATTATAAGTCACTGTATTTGCTGTCATGTTCCAGAACTTAGCAAAACCCAACAAAGTGTTCCACCGTCAAACATCGTGACTCCCCGCAGAGAATCACTGCACAGAAAGGGAGAGGAAACAGTTAATGTGGGTTTACCTCTGAATCTTTAAGCCTCACATAGTTAGAAGGGAAGACTCCGGACTTGTCGCCCACTGTTCCCGTCCACCAGTCACCATCTTTCTTGGTAACCAAAATCACATCCCCTTGCTGAAAGGTTAAATCGCCTTGCTCAGAACTCTCGTAAGTGTACATGGCAATAAATTCTGGTGGGGAGAAATATTGAGATACGGAGAGAGCTTGATTGTTTACAGAAATCCCAGATAGCTTTGCAAAAGCAAGTTTACGAATAAGGAAGTTAGGATAAGATCCATTCAAGAGAAAGGCTAGTCACAGATAAAACACAGAGTTGCAGGACACCCGGGCTCAAAGTCCCCAATTGTTCATAAAAATTCAGTAACCGTAGACAGGGAGACAATTCCTGTGAAGACCCAGCCACAGGAACAAAAAAACCAAATGCATGTCTATCGACACTGAGGACTGCCCAAGAGTGATCTCGATTTAACGTCATGATATCCTTTTAAATGAAATTAGTTTTTACATTTACTTTGATATTTACTGAGTACCTCCATTGTGCTGAGCACTGGGTTAGATGCATTCCCATGCAGGCACATCAAATATCTTTCGGTTTTGAGGGTACCAAGTCACAATTTTAGAAAATCTTTAGATATGGTATATCCTTCATGTAAATTAAATAAGACAGATATTTCATTTTTCAAGTGTCTAAGTGAAAACTTATGTCTTATTGTGCCATATACCCAGATGGCAGGAAGCTGTTAGAACACAAAATAAAAAATATACATTATTTAGTTCATTTTCTTTCTTTTGTTTTTTTGTGAGGAAGATCGGCCCTGAGCTAACTTCCAAGGCCAATCTTCCTCTTTTTGCCAAGGAAGATTGGCCTTGGACTAACATCTGTGCCCATCTTCCTCTACTTTATATGCGACGCCGCCACAGCATGGCTTGACAAGTGGTGCATCAGTGTGCACCTGGGATCCGAACCCCGGGCCACTGAAGTGGAGTGCGTGCACTTAACCCCTATGCCACTGGGCAGGCCCCTACATTATTTAGTTCGAAATGGGTATCTACTTGTCATTTAAGCTCGTAAACAGGTTGAGTGGACTGATGATAAAAGTAAAGTCTACTCAATTCCAGAAAATAGTCAAGCCTTTCTGATTAAGTTGAAAAGACAAATCACAGTATCTTATATTTTATTACTCATGTAATTTAGTCTTAAAGGATAAGAACTAATGTTCTTTACCGTCTTGAAAGTGAAGTGTGAACATTCCAGAGGAAATTTTTCTTTTTAATTATAAATAGCTGATTTTACTAAGGCTTAGAACCAAGTCACACTCTCAGATCACCAGACACAAAACTCTAGACACAGGATAAAAGATATAAAGAAAGATGAACATAAGTTTCTTGTTTCCACTTTTTCTCCATTTCATCCTAGTTTTTTGTATACTTTTTAAAAAGCAATAAAAAAAATCACCAATTTCTCGAAAAGTTCATTTTTATGATGCGTGATGTATGCTTCCCGCTAAAATTTCAGACGGTCTTCAGATGCAGAGCCTAATGTTAATTAATAGGCAGAAATTTAGCATGAAGGAATCCTTTGGCTAATTATAAGACCCTCTGCAGGCCCTAATGAAAGCTAAAATAAATACACAAAAAACAAAACCCCCTAACACGTGTGCTAATGTGGGCAGCTCTACAACGTGAGAGAACTCGCCACGAGCTTCATCTTCAGCAGCGCGGACCTGTAGGCAGAGCCAGCAGCGACTGTGGATGAGCGCTGAGCCCCACGGCAGACACAAGGTCACCCGGGTGTGCGAGGGAGAACAGAAGACTCTCTGTCTTTAGCCCTCCAGCGCTGGTAACGTACACCTCCGCAGTTAGCAGTGGAAAAATGATTTCCCGCACAAGGGAATCAAAGTTCGGCAGCTTTAACAAGGGCATTCTTTTTCCACTCATATATTCCTTTTTCTGATTTCTCAATATTCTGACCCTTCCCTTTTCATTTTGCTCTGTGACTTGTTCCTTAGCTCATGTTTGGCCATTTAAGATAGGAGCCTTGGCAATCAATACTTTTCCCAGTGATGCTTGCACTTAAAAGTCACTTTCTCAAAGATGGATCCAAATTTTGAAGTAACTTTCAAAATGCTTAAGAAACTTCAGAAGCATGAACTCTGGCTGAACTTAATAGTGTAGTATAAGACACCAAGGAGACCGGGAAGGCTGGGGCTGTACTTGCCCTGCTGTGACACAGGCATCTGCGAAGCTGCCTCTGGATTCAGTGAAAACCAGGACACACAAGGACGGATGCGCAGTGGCCCCTCACCACTTAGGCCCTCTTCGTGAGACATCTACCCCAGGGCAGCGGCCATCCCCAAGCCGATATTTTAAGAGCTACCCAAAGTGACACTCTATTTAATCTGGTTTATGGTTTATTTTAAATTTGATGACATTCAATGTAGCATTAATAAGCAGCTCATTAATATATGTAAATAGCTTTTCTCGGAATTTCAAACTCCAGTGTCCTTCCACACCCCTCCGGAATGCTAGCAATCCTTCCCAATATTTTAATACCTAAATCATTTCAAAATGGATGCAATAAATGTCAACTAAGATTAAAATTTAACTCACTTCTGTTGCCCAACTTTAAGTACATGTGTGGTTCACCTGTGACCTATTTAATTGAGGCCTCAAGTGTTGAGGTCTCTGTACATGTTTCAAAACAAATTGACATTTATCAACGCTGCTGTTAGATGAGAAGGCTCACTGCGTTAAGGGGCTCTATCAATAATCCAGTAAATGAAGCAAAAAGGAAGTAAAAGTAGCAGACATTTACTGCCCTTTATTCTAAAAGCTTTATACATATTATCTCATAATCCTCATAATAATTCGCTTCCTCAAGGGGTGGTTATTATGCCCACTTTACAGATGAGGAAGTTAAGGCATGACCAAAATATATGGTTACTAGGTAAGAGAGCCAGAATATAAACTCTGGCCTCCAATAAGATTTAATTGGATATAACACACTGAATTTGGAGGGATGGGGTGTCACAATCTGCTTTATACAATACTGACTGCACATGCTGTGTTTAAAAGAGCTTTTTGCCTTGTTCTAACAGTGGAGAAAAAGTCATTAAGATGATAAGAATGTACAATGAGAACTATGCTAACGATTATTTTGGAGGTAAAAGCAAAAACTGGATGCAATAAAAGGCTGGATTTGTTTAGGGATGATGAGGTTCTATAGCTATACCTATCAACTAAAAAAGAAAATTCTAAAACTCCTCTGAAGAAAGTAACTTTGTTACTCTGAGTATGAAATACCATTAAACCTTAATTCTTGCCATCTCCATTGGAACAACTATTTCAATAATTCTATCTTTCATAAGGCAAGGTTTCTAAGGAATGCAACCATCTCCTAATGGCAAACAAACTAAATAAAACATTCTATCCTCATATAATTTATTCAAGGAACTCATGAAAAATTACTATATAATTGGGTAGATATTGGTTCAGACTTCTGGACAGAGAGCCCGTCTGACTCGGGTAGCACCCTTCAGTTAGTACTAGGATAATGGCTAAGCTGAATGTAGAAAAGACATGAGATTTTTACCATTAGAGCCCAAATTATGTAGGTTTTGTTCATTTTTAAACCCATACCATATACTGGCATATATAATCCTTAGGATTATGTCACAAAGTAAAGACCCGGAAATAAAGCAATTGCTTGCGTAATAAACACTCAAAAGGAATTTTTTAGGCCTAAATAATCTGGTTTGGTTATTTATGTGGAACATGGAAACTGAACTTCTGCTTCGTTTGGGGTGGTACCAATGGCAGTGATGGTGCTGTGACAGTGTTACGGGACTGTGTATTAACGGTTTTAAAACAAAACACTTATCTATAAGCCAAGAACAGACACAACCACAACTCAGCTAAAGACATGCTCAGAAAACCTGACCCTTAGTGACTGATGGGCCTCTTTCAAAAATCAAAGGACTCATAATCAAATGTAATTAGAAAATTCAGTTTTAATCATCAATATATCTGATGGTATTTTGAAAGTCTCCATAAAGCACTTTGATTTTGTAATGAGCTAAACTTTCACTTTACCTTAGAGTTTAATATATTGAACATAAATTAACGTAGTCTATTTTAAAATGAAATCCAATCGTGTTTCAAACATTTACTGTTTGTCTTACGTAATTTCCACGACTTCCTACAGGATACATTTGACTCAGATATCTCACCTTCTCCTGAAACGGCTGGCTTGGCTGCAGGGGAAGCTACTCTCTTTAGACAGGCAGGACTGTCGGAAGAACCGGATTCCATGCTGAAAGAGGCGAAAAAAGAGCATTTTAATTTTTATCTTAAAAGATGACACTGATTTTTCTCTTTTAAAACTGTTTAATGTTTAAAACTTTGAACAATCCACAGCTGAAATAGTTGCACTTGGCTAAGTTAAAACACATGATAAGGTGCTACAGAAGCAAGATTCTAGCTCACATTCCTGTCTTTTAGCACTTTGCTGTGCTAGATACACAGCCAACATATTGGTCTATTTCAAAGCACGACTGATGGATTCTCATCTGATATTTTTATCTTCTTAAAGCTCATAATTTGTTTTGAACATCTATATGGTTGGAATAATTAAACAACAACCTTGTTAACGTTCCGTGCTACAATAAGACCCTAATGAGGAAGATAATTCATGCTTCCAATTATTCCCCCAAATGCTTTGGGCCTCTAAGAATTCATGTGTACCTGGCACAGTACTGAGTAGTAAGCATGAAGAGAGACAAATCTCCCACAAACCCAGAAGAATGTTCTAGGTCTCAGAGTAGAATTCCCTCTTGCATAATTCAATGAAAAGCAAGATACACAGGCTTCCACAAGTGAAAAAAAAGTGACCAATTTATCTGTAAGAGGCTCCCTTCTGTTGACACGTACTCTTTCGCAGTTAAAAGATCAAGAAGATAAAATAATCCTGCAACTCCTATCTGTGAATCTTAACAAGTGCAAGCAATAATTTAATGCCTAACATTGTTTTCATCTAATAGAAGCAGATAAACACAAAAATACCTTGTCGATTTCCTTACGGGCCCTGAAATGAGTTTCACGTAAGACTTGGGGAACCAACCCTTCTGACCTTGAACTTCTCCAAACCACCACATGTCTTGCTGTTCCAGGACGGTGATGACATCGTTTTTGTTAAAGTTTAAGTGGTTGTCTTTTTTGGCTCTCCACGGATACAGGGCTTGCGCTTGTAGCCCCTCCACCTTCTCACCCTTGTATGGAATAACATAAAAGACCTCTGGTTACTTCGTGATTTGTTATCAACTCAGGCGACACGAACGCTGGCACCTCCTCTCCAATAAGCACATGTGGGCACACACACGGCCACAAAGACCCCGCTTCAGCACACCAGGGTGCTAGACACTGCATTGTTTCTCAGTAACTGTTTATTTCCAAAAGTGGAGGCGAAAACCTGCCAGCCTATTCACACAGCCATTGCCTGGCCATCTAGAACTCTCTATTTAAACAAGCCAGGAGGTCGGATTTATTCTGTTGCACCTGGTTGTGTGTCTTTTATATTTTGGTTCTATTTTAACTCTCAGATTGCCCAGGGTATCCCCTCCCCCCCACCATTTCCAATCTGATTTGGATTTTTAGTGGAGGATTAATACAAGAGCAGAAACCTTACAAAATCTCAAAAGATAATTAACGGATATCTTAGTTTAGGGACAGGGAAACATGCCTTGCATTGGATTGGGCTTGTTTTAGCTCCTTTTTAGAGAAACAGGGGTTTGGTTAGCATAACTCCATTGTAAGCAGAAATTATTGTACACCTATATGCAAGGCACTGTGGGGCTACAAAGATAAATAAAATGCCATCTCTGCCTCCCCAAAATAATTTAGGTTAAAACACTTTATTAACCTTTATAAAGCACTATAAAAATGGACAGTATGATATTATTACCAAGGAACTCACAGGTACTGGGGAAGAAAGAGATACAAGCAACTATGTATACCACATGGCAGAATGAAATATGCTAATAAGAGGTTCCAACTATTCACTGGGGGAACAGAGAGAGATGAGGGATGAATTCTGCCTGAGGGCAACAGGGAACATTTCCCAGAGGAGACAGCACTGGAGCTGGGCCTTGAAGGACGAGAAGGATTTTGAAAGCTAGGGCTTCGGAGGAAGGGCACTCCAGGCCGAGGGCACAGCATGGGCAAAGGCCTCGACGTGGTACACTGCAAAGGGTCCAGGAAGAGGAGCACAATCCGGGGGTGTGTGTAGCCTACTTTCATGGAGGAGTGCGGTAGGAGACGAGGCTGGAAAGGCAGGGTGAGGCATTCATTATCTTTTTAAAAACTATAATATAAAACCATTACAATATCTTAAAACATTACTAAAAAATACAGCAATGTCAACTGTCAATCACATATGTAAATGGACAGGAACAAAGGATAATGCCCAAAGACAGTTCATCCAGTACCAATTTGTACTTGCCTTTATAAGTTATTTCCGTGTTGACATTTAATTATGATTACATCTGATAAATAGAGAATTTATGACAGGTCAAATAGTTTCAGCATCCACGTCGATAACTTCTAAATCCTGGTCGTCACGGGTTCTCACCTTCTTAAACCTAAGACATCCCATTTCCTTCCATTTCACCTGTACGCTCCTTCAAATCCTCAGAACTGAGGAGGTGTCTCTGGGTTTCAAACACTGCCCAGGACCATCTATTCTTTGCCTTCCATTCTCCGCCTTCCATTCTCCTTTCTCGCACTCACAGGGCCTCATACCCTCACAGCCACGGATCTCATAGCTCTTCTGTATTGTCTAATCCTCTCGGCCACCTCCATTTATTTCTCTACCACGAATAGACCCCTGGGTCAGCCATTTCAGCTGTGCTCTCATTGGTATTTCAGAATCTCTCACCCTGAGCAATCTTCCCTGTGCCTGTCTTGTCAATCTTCCACAGGGATACACCCGAATAACTCAGCCTGGGGTCGGACAGAACAGGGACTCTGCATTTGAGTCCCAAGCCTGTCACTACTAATTTTGTGACCTTGGGCAATTGTTTAATCTCTCTAGGCCTCAGTTTCCACATCTATAAAACAGATACTTTCTTCAAAAGGTTGTCAAGGAAGTTTCACAAGATCTATCCATAGTGTTGCTATGACAGTAATAATCATGATAGTAGCTGTAGCTTTTATTACTGCTATCATTTCCATTTCCAAACTGTGAAGTATTGCTGCAGAAAGCTAAGACAACGTGCCATGACCACTTACAGATTCAGGTTAAATTAAGCCAAGCAATCCTGCATTCTCCTTTGCTGAATTCCTATTTTGCATACTCCACAGGCCCTCAGGGTCCCCTCCTGAGAATGTGGGCCTGGAGCACAACCTGAACTTCTTTCCCTCATCTTTTCCCAACCTCTTCACCCTTCCTCTCCCAGAAGACAAAGAATCCCGCTTTCTTCTCTGTGATTTTAATGCTGCTTCCACCTTACACCAATTATATTCTCTGGTACTTGACTTCTCAGGCCCTTTCTCCAACATGAGGCAACATGGTTGCGTCATGCCTTTCCCAATGTCCTGCTCCACTCTGCTCCTTCCCTTCTCTTTCACGAATCTTTCCACTTACTCACCAATCCTTTCCTCTTTTCCCCTTTGCAATCTGGTTTATTCTACTCGTTCCCATGTCACAGATACATTCTACTTGCCATACCGAATGGTCTCTTCTTTGCCCTGACCACTGCCTTTAATAATATGAGCACCCCCCAACTTTCTGGAAGCTGTCCCCTTCTCTACCACTGAGTCAGCACCACTGAGCATGAGACACGTGCTAACCGCTGAGCTGGGACAGAGGCAAAGGAAAGATCCACCCCTGTTGGCAGCTGCTCTTCTTCCCGGTGACAGAACACACACGCTCTGTGTATTTCCATTTTCTCCCTACATTCTCTCTCCTTCGAAGATCTCACACGTTTCCTTAGATCTGATCTATGTTCCAATTGCCTGCCAGACAGGACTAACTGGGTGTCTCACTTTCACCTTAAACATAACACATCTAAAAACCAACCCTTCCCTCGAACTAAAAATCAATTTCTTCTTCAATTCCTTGTTTCTCTTTAAGGTCAAATCTCTCCCTCATTCCCAGACCTCTTTCCTACTCTATTTGCTCCCTCAGGCATTATGACTCCACCCTCTGTAACTGGTGTCGCTGCCCCAATGTCCCCACTTGAATCTTCCTGCACACCACCTCCACATGAATCCGCCTAGAGCCCACGTTCAAGCTGGTTGTACCAGATCAGAAACTGCCCCTGACCCCCAAGTGCCTGCTAGATAGGCATTTGCTCTTGTTTGGTTTGATTATTTATAGAAAGTTCATTTCTTTATCTTTACTGTATTAAATAAAAATAGAAATACTGAGAACAACCATCTTTATCCTTTCAGAAATTATTCTTTCTTAGTAGGGTATTTAAGACATTTCCATTAACCTACAATCTTTTGCAATAACTACTCAATGGTCTAGCCAAATGGACTGACCCATGATTTTCCCCACACACTCTGATTTCCTACCTTAAAGCCTGTCCTCACAGTATTTCTGTCTCATATGTCAGCCCTCTGTATTTCCTAATAAGACCTTATCCATTGTTCAAGATGCAGTTCAAATGCCACTTCTTCAGTGAAGCTTCTCTGATTACCCATCTCTGAACTCTCACTATTCACAATATACTCCTGGTTCCTGGGAAAACGTGAACTGGATCCCGCACTGCCAGGTGACGCCATACATATAATGAGGCTGTCTTCTACATGACACCATCAACAGGCATTTGCTGAATCTGTCAGTACTCTAGGGCATGCTAGGTTTTCACACTCCCATTGACTGCTTTTACCTGGCCTAAAACAGGAGACGGGGAGGAGCCGGTGGCCGTGGCTGGAGTAAACGCCGACCTCTGCCTTAACTGGCCAGCGCTCGGAACGGTGAGAGAGGGCTGGGCTGCCCATGCGTCCCAGTTATCAGTTTCTGGTTTCTCATTTGTGCTGGTGGGCCACCTGGAAGGAAAAGCATCCCACCATGAAAAGCAAGTAGTTTCTAATGCGCCAGCGTTTCACCCGCAGTAAACACAAACCTAGTACATTTGTGGGGCTTTCTAGGTTCAAGAACGAGGAGGGAGGGGGCCAGCCCGGTGGCGCAAGCGGTTAAGTGCGCGCGCTCTGCTGCGGCGGCCCAGGGTTCGTCGGCGCCGAGGGACCCCAGGCGCGCACTGACGCACTGCTTGGCAAGCCATGCTGAGGCGGCGTCCCATATAAAGTGGAGGAAGATGGGCACGGATGTTAGCCCAGGGCCAGTCTTCCTCGGAAAGAAAAGAGCAGGATTGGCAGATGTTAGCATAGGGCTGATCTCACAAAAAAAACAAAAAAAACAAGGAGGGAGGAAAGAGCATTGGACTTGGGTTTGAGTCTGAGCATCGCACACTAGTGACAAACCTCACGCAAATTATAGGAGTTTCTCTGAATCTTCATTTCCGCATTGATAAAATAGGAACAATATTCTACCATTTTTGGTGAGTGGTGAAATACTGGATAGGGAAATACTTTGTAACTCTAAAGCACCAGAGAAACATCCTCATATGAGCATTATCATCATTTGTAATAACAATAGCCAAATCAGCAAAAAAGAAGTTATATATCACGTACGAAAACATGCCAGCTTAGTAGCTGGTGCTTCTTAACACCATTTCTCTGTCCCACCATCGCACAGCCAGCACCCGGCTGTATGCCTAGACACCACGGTAACTACAAGTGGTACCTTTAGAGCAACCAGTTGTCCTGAATCTCTGGGACAGTTTTAATTTTGTGATTTTAGAATTTTAAATCAACACATCTGTATGAGTGCAGATCTAAATGCAATTTACTTTTTACATCTTTCTAAGACATAAACAAATTTGAAAATCAAAATAATTCCTTTGTTTGACTACACACCCTGATCTGGGGTTTGGAAAATAAGATGCCTGCAATTATAGCTGGAGAGCTGCACACCACACATTTAATGAGGAAGAGAGTCACAGGCATTGGATCCATAGCAAAACAAAATCCTGGAAAACATGGTATTTGTCTTCTATTTTAGCCTAATCTTTAGTTTAAAAAGTCGGAGCTCTTCAATCAAGATCAAGAGAGGAAAGGAGTTTCAACTTGGAATGTGCTAATGGAAGGCTACTTTTTAGCAGAGATTAGATAGAGAGGAACTTCTTTAGCACTTTCAACCGTTTATATGAAAATCTAAGTAGGAAAACCTTGCTATTCCTTACACCCTTCCCTCTACTCCTCCCGCCCTTGCTCATTAGGCTCCTTCCTTTCCTCAACTTGACCCATCTGATCTTTCTCCAGCATTAAGTCTTGACTCTCTGCCTTCGATTTGTTTCTTCTGAAAGATGATTAGACTTGAAAAAATATTTAAAACACTACACTTCTGACTCAAATCACTTTTGCTTGAATAAAATATTTTTAGACAACTGCACAGCTGGATCATGGTCCTATAACTAGAAGTATGGACATTTCAAACCTTTGCTTACACACTGTTTTTAATGCCATTTCCTGATGACCAAGGGCAAGCACTAACTGTAGCCAAGAGCACACATCTCTTCACTCCCCTGTACATTTGTTCACGACTGATGAAAGGGGAAAGCTTTAAAGGAAACAGCTTTCTATCTGATTCAAAACCACATGACTGAATTCAGTTTCTGATTCTGTCCCGCAAAAAAAAGTGCTGTTTACATGTGGGAAATGACTCTGAAATATTTGCTGACTGACATGGATGTCAAACTGATTATTAGGAAACTGTACTTCTCCATCTCTTCCATAAGAATGCAAGATGCAGACAAATTATTGAATGAAACAAGATAATAGGCTTTATTTTGTGCCAGGGCAAATCATTGTTGAGCAATGATATAATTAAATCCAGTTCAGAGAATGTAATCCACAATTTGCCAGTAGACCAGTCAGAGAAAGTGGTAATGAAAAGAGCCAGCTCCTTTACGCAGAGATACAACCCAAGACCATAAAAATACTTAAGTTGGGACTTAGTCATCAGAAATAGCATGCCTACACATACGTGGAGCTGAAGTCGGCCCAGTTGTTGGGGGTCGTGGAGGGCTCTGAAGAGGTCGCTGCCAGAGGAGCGGGGGTCTCACGCATAGCCAGTTTGGGTGCAGGGGTGGAGGTGGGCTCGGTCACTGGTTTGACTGGAGCGGGAACCTCAATTTCTGGGATTTTCTCTGCATAGTTCGCAGGGAACCATCCTGTCTTTCCTTTTAATTCTCCTCCAAGCCATCCCGGTTCTCCAGTCTGGCTTTCATCCACCTGCAGGAAAGTCACAAAGTTTAATTTAAGTGGAACTAAATCAACCCACAAAGACACTAAACACTCTAGCAGAACAAAGCCCCAAGCCTCTGACCCTGTCACGCTGACACACTGCATGGATGTTTCTTCTTATTCTTAAGTCTCTCTGGAAAGATTGTCTCTAAACATTAACTCTGAAAAAACAGTAAGTGCCATAATTCAAGTTCTTACTCTTTGTGCTTTTTAAAGCTTTTTTTTTTTTTTAGATTTCTTCTCTTTTTCTAATAATGGCATACAAGATTAAGTGCCTAAAGTCCTAAGGCCCATAGTTTAAATGTTTAGAGCTATTTTGAACTGGAAAGTGATCTGACAGACTTCATCACTCAGGAAGTCATGTAATTATTAAAAATAATTTGACTTGGGTTTATTATTTAAAGTTGAAAGCAAAGGGTGCAATCAATATAAATTCAGCATTCTAAAAATCTCTAATAACTAAGCAGTACTTATTCAGCATAGGGACAAGAAAGACAAAAAACACAGCTTTAGATGGTTTCTACAGGAAGCAAAGCTGACTGCTGTACTTAGCCATTTAAAAGTTTTTCAGAAACATGATAAGAAAATTAAGGAAGTGATTATTTACAGCAACAATCAATTTTATTAAGGTCCTATAGTTTTCTTTTGTATAAATTTAACTTTAATATTCAACAAGTACACATGAGAGAATAGAATTCTGCTGCTTAAAAATTTCAAAGAGGCTATTTATTATTCCAGGGGCTTTTAATGTTTGCATTTTATTTTAACTGTGGCTCAAAAGGATCATTCAAAATCACCAGAATGATTCTACTTGTCTTTACGAGTTACCCCCATTGTTTTATGAGCAACAGGAGAAGGCTTTTGGGGGATAAATGACTTTCACTATTAGAAAATTATTTTCATTACTCTAAGTCAAATAAGGGTCTATTAGAGACCTTATCTTATTTTTATCCCTTAATATACTGCCTAAGGAGGTAAAACACGGAACACTTCATTGGACATTAACGTTGCTCTTTAGAAATCACAGAAATGAGTAGGTACGGTCTTAACAATAATTTTGGAAAAACTGGCAAAAATACCAGTTTTCTATCCCATTCGAATATTCAATAAAAAACAAAGCAAAGAACTACAGAATCAAACATTTATCTGTATTCAGTGTAGGGTAATAGGGTATAATGTTTATTAGCTTATTTGAATTAAAAAAGAATGCATGGGGTAGGGGTGGAGAAAGTAGAATACAGGGCTTACTACTTGATTCTACATGTTATTTACGAAATATTCAGTAGGTAGGGTGCACCTGCTTTGCTGCTCCACCTTAGGGTACCCTTATTGTCATGAATAAAAGCAATTTTTAAAGCCGAGAATTTTCCAAAAAGGAGTTCCCCAAGATAAAGCACAACACTGCTTCAAAGGGCCTCCTCTGTCCTCTACGGCTCTGCTCTTCTCGCCAACACACATCAGATGTGAACACATTACCACTGTCATTCAGCTCCCCCACACTCTTTTGTTCTTACTTTCCCTTTTCTGGGCAGTCTCAACGGTTTCGCTAGATGAGGATTTAAGATGACATTTTTCCATTTGGATCTTATTTTATGCTAAACTCAAATAGCCTGATGCCTTTCCTTCCTCATTTATATATATATATTTTTTTTAAGTTTCAGTTTCTTTGTATTCTTTTTTATTTATTTATTTTTATTATGTTTTTTTTGTGAGGAAGATCAGCCCTGAGCTAACCTCCATGCTAATCCTCCTCTTTTTGCTGAGGAAGACTGGCTCTGAGCTAACATCTATGGCCAATCCTCCTCCTTTTTTTTTGCCCCAAAGCCCCAGTAGATAGTTGTATGTCATAGTTCCACATCCTTCTAGTTGCTGTATGTGGGACGTGGCCTCAGCATGGCCGGAGAAGCAGTGCGTCGGTGCGCGCCCGGGATCCGAACCCGGGCCGCCAGTAGTGGAGCGCCTGCACTTAACCACTAAGCCATGGGGCTGGCCCCCTCCTTTATATTTATTGGTGATATTATGACACATTTTAACCTTGCAGCTGCTTTGCACTGGAAACATAGCTGTTTCAAGGCCAGGTGGTGCCAGGGCCTCCTCAACATCTCTTGAGGTTCAACAGCGGAGCCCCCGCCCCCTCCACTCATCCTGGGACCAAAGGTGATGTTAGGCAGGAGTTAGGAGCTTGAGCCCAACACACAATAACTCAGCCTCAAGATGGCCAAGTGTAATGATCAAGAGTAGGGCTCTGCAATTAGATGGCCTCAATTTCAATACTACTTCTACAAGTGATGAACTGGTTGACTTTGGGCAAGTTTAATCTCTTAGTGCCTCGGTTTCTTCATCTGCAAAATGGGGATAACAGTGTCTTATTATGGTTGTTGGGAGGAACCGTGAATGTTTAATAACATTGCCTGGCATATAATAAGTGTTTAATGATAGAATTTTTTTAGCCCTCTCTCCTGTTGTTCAGCTCTGACTCTGTTGCAGGTCTCTTTTGGGCTTCTGTCCCGTTCCAAAAGCCTGGTCTCTACTGCACCCTCACTTGAGGTAACAAGCTGTGGTTCTCTGCATGGGGAGTTCCCTGCTCTAGAAACCTGTCTGGGACCCCAGGCCTCTGGGTTTGACTTCTTGCCCGCAGTAATCCTTTAGGGACTGGAGCTCAATCTCTGATCACGGCTTGTCTGGAACTCCTTCTGGTCTGTCCAAGTTGGACCTCCTGGAATGTCAGCTGCTTTACTTAATTATGTCCTATGATCTCCTGTGATTCCTTCAAGACACAGGGTCTTATCCGGTTAACAAGACTTTAGTTGACATCTGGAATTGGACCTGAAGCCCTGAGGAAAAGTCCCAACCTGTGAGCAGGTCTAGCTCCCACTCTGTTTAACCGATCACACCCAGCCCTGTCCCCTGATACGACACAAAGGAAGCTGCACCAGTGAAAGGAGCTTTGTGTGCATAGGAAGGGGGAGGGGGACCCATCAGCCTCTTATCTCTGCAGACAAGAGTTTCTCCCACCCGTCAGGGCAATAGTGAAATCAGTATTTCACCTTTAACCAAGGAAAGTCACTGGTCAACTTTGGCCAAGCAATAGTCTCAACTAGTCTGATTTATTCTTATAGGAATCCATTAATTTTAATGAATACTTAAATTTTAATTTTAAGGTTCAGAGGATATAATAAAAATTCACTCAACGTAAATTAAATCAACCATTTAGAAAAAGCACAAAGGTTCTCATGTGAAAATGAGAAATATTTCTTCCTGGATAGGGAAACTACCCAAAGTGCCAATCCAACTGTGGAAAAACATAAGATTAGGACAGAATAAGAAAAGTGAGGCATGCAAACTTCTTTGTAATGTGGACTTTTACAGACATAGTAAACTCATTTATTGGTGACTATAAGTCAGGGGGTTTTAGTATTAACAACATTGGTGTTAATACAATTTCATTTAACCACCTCCACCACAACACCTCAAAGCATCCAGGGTCATTCTAGTGACACATTATCAAAGTGGGAAGTACAAACCCAAGATCTTGATTACATGTCTGGGGATGTTACAGATCTAATCCACAAAACGTTAGTAATCGTATACTGCATAACACAGGGCACTTATGCAACAGTCATGCACACAGCAGCTATCAGGTTCAAGTACACGTGGCTGAAGCCCAATAATAATTTCTCAATGTTTATATGATTCATGGCTGCCATTGTCATTAGGGAGCATTAATATTTCTGAAACCTCTGACCTTGTCACAAAGAAGGAAAATAGAAATTCCCTCTACTCTAGCAAGCATGACAAAGAACATGGACAGCAAAGAGGTTTAAACTGTGTACTGACTCAGACCAGCTGGTATGGCTGCCTTGGATGTGCTAAGGAATCTGGGGGGCAGCATGTTTCACGCATTTGCCAGTGTGGAAATACAAGGTTTCCCCCCAAACTCCTGGATGAAGATATAAAAGTGGTTTTCTAAAGCACTAATTTAGAGACAGGCAAATTTTTCCTCTGTCACAACTACTCAACTCTGCCACTATAGCACAAAATCAGCTGTAGACAACATGTAACTGAAGAAGCCTAGCTGTGTTCCAATAAAATTTAACTACAAAACAGGCAGTGGGCCAGATCCAGCCCATCCCTGGAATCAAATGTGTGTACTGGTCCCTCAAAACAGCAACGATCCTATGACCAATTGTTACTAGACAAGCCGAGCTTCAATGTTAAGGTTGGAGATCTAAGGAAGGCAGAAAAGACAAAGTACTGACTATATTAAAAAAAAATTCCATCAAAAGAAGAAAAGGAAAAAAATGAGTTTAAATTGTTACAAGAGTAACACTAAATTAGAAGATAAACAATTTCCAGAATGAATTGACTGCTTGACGGCTGACAACCGCTAAAGAAGTCTGTTTTTTTGGATATTTCTAACAAGAGGATATTCGGAAATGATTTAGGATTAGTCCTGACAGGAAAAAGAGATTAGGATAGATCGTGGTTCCTGAAACTAACTCTCCAACAGAACCACCTGGAGAGGGTTTTCAATCTTATACGTGGATTAAGAGTTAGTTCCCAGAGTCTCTGGAATGGTTATTTGTTATGCTCCCTGAGCAGTTCTGATGGATTGATTCATTCATTCCTTCATTCCTTCATTCATTCCTGGACCATCTAGGACCTGCTGGGTTAGATGACCAGCCTGCATTATCAAGATAAACTTCAACCAAACAGCAGTGAGCAGAGGTCTTCTAATTCCTCATGCTGTTCAAACACATTACAGATGTCAAATTTGATATATTCACCCTCCAAATATTGGGACCTCCAGATGGGAAGACAGGCCATATATTTTCAAAGTATGTAAGCCTTAGCTGTCAAGGTCAAACTCAAATAAGAAGCCTCCATTCAAAGTCTTCCCTGAGTACATCAGTTCACTCTGATTCCTTTCCTCTTTTAAATTCCTAGCCAACTTAGTGAGCATTCATTGAGAACTTCATCATACACTGGCTTTTTCACGTGTTTCTCCCTATTTTTCGAAAAAGATTTTCAACATATGAATGACAGACATCATTTTATATTTCTTTGTATTATCAACAACAGGACTATATATAAGATAGAACATTAAATTTTTGTTAACCATGAAAAGATATATTTTTGGAGAAAACTGGGCTGATATCAAGTTTTTTCAAAAGCAAAATATTTTTAAAGCCCCCTCCAAAATTGCCTACATTAAAAAAAGGAAACATTGTCAGACTTCTAAAAATCTAATAGGTAAGCTACTTTTCAAAGAAGTTTGAGCAATCTGAGAATCTAATGATTACTGTGCCCACAAAAGTAAGTGAACTCTTCTTAATTTTTTTTTTTTTTTTTGAGGAAAGATTAACCCTGAGCTAACATCCGTTGCCAATCCTCCTCTTTTTGCTGAGGAAGATTGGCCCTGGGCTAATATCTGTGCCCATCTTCCTCTACATTATATGGGACGCCGCCACAGCATGGCTTGACAAGCGGTGCAGCAGTCCGTGCCAGGGATCCGAACCTGCAAACCCCGGGCCGCCAGAAGCCGAGTGCATGAACTTAACCGGTATGCCACCAGGCCGGCCCCTGAACTCCTCTTGATTTTCAACCTGGAGAGATTGACGGTAATGTTCTACTACATATTTTTCATGTTGATGGTTCTTAACTGCAAACTTCATGAAATAAAAACATCATTACTATTATATGTCAATTTCCATTTAAAAAACTGATTATTAACCTCACGAAGACAGTACAACTGAATGCCATTTGGAGTGCCACGTTACATTTTGTAGTATAACATGAAGACACTGCGGCTGTCCCTCCAGGAAGCCAATAAATTATGCCTAGTTGTACATTCCATATTTCATTACATAGTCAGGATGTCTGAGATAAAGCAAACACCATTCCAGTCCTGGGTAGACGTTCTCTGTTACACTTGTTGAAGTTGGATTTATTTTTAGTGTTTTATTAAAAATTACAAATGTTGATGCATTTGTAAACAGGAAAATCATATAGAAGCACATAAAATTAAACATGCCCAGCAGTAACCACTGTTAATAGTTTGATGTCTGTATTTCAAGACTGTTAACTACACACACATAAACATTCACGTGTACACACATACAGTTTTTTATTTAACCAAAGTGCAATTACACTCTACATATTGTTCACTGGACAGCTTATTTGTATATGCAGGTCTATGTAACTTTTTTAACATCTTCATTATATTTTTTCTTTAGCTGTATCATAATTTATTTAAACCATTCCCTTACTGATGGACATAGGGCTGCTCTTTTTTTTGCTTTTACCAATAACGCTGCAGTGAACATCCATGTACACATATATTTGTGCATATGCCAAAAGACAGCCTAGAAGAGGGAGAATAACAGAATTTTGGGGTCCTGGGGAATGAGAATTTTAAATCTGAATAGGTATTGCCAAATTGCCTTCCAAATGGCTTAGCCAATTCATACAACCATGCTGACAATGTATATTACATCCACTTTCCTACACTCTTGACAAAGTTGGATATTATGAAATTTTTAAACTTGTTGAGAGATAAAAAATGCTATCTTATGTTTTTAATTTGCATTTTCCTGATCACCAATGAAACAAAGCATCTTTTCGTATATTTTATAAATCATTTACTTTTCTTCATCTGTGAATGTCTCTTCATATCCTCGGCCATCTTTTCTAAGACTTGTCTATGGGTCTTTTTATGTAATATGTATAGTAACCTTTGTCTCTTAAGTATTTTGCAATATACAAGTTTTAATTTTTTTATATTGTCAAATCTGTCCTTTTTTGTCATTTATAGCTTCTGGTTTTTAACTTAGACAGGCATTTCTTAGCCAGAAAATTATTCCAATAGTCTCCTTTTTAAAAAAATTATATTTTTAGAATTTTATCTTTTAAGCTTAACCTACTTGGAACTTATTTTTGTCCATGGCCTGAGAAAGAGACTTGACCCAATAACTTGCCAAATACAGAGCCTTCCAGTTAGTCCTTAAATGGAATCTAGCAAAGAGAAACCTGGTATACACACTTTAACAGCTTTCTTGTTTTTTTTTTTTTAAAGCGCAACCTACCACACAAACTCAAAACATACTTTTACTGCTGCGACAACACGCAGAGATATGTGTACTTACACAGAATTATAGTGACTTAAAAGAACAAAACATTTAAGAAGATGCAGACTTCCTGACAGTGACATAGCACTTACCCATTCCCCTTTAACCTCCACCAGGAAAGCAAAGGTTTGAAAGCAAGGCAAAATATATGTTTAATGAAATGTTTTATTCTTACAGTATATCTAAACTCTATTCATCTAGTCCAGCCGGTGGTTAGCTAGCCAATTTGAGGAAAAGGATTCAATATCATTGTAACAAGACTATGTTTCCAAAAAATAGCAATATTTTCTCATTAAAATATAGATCATCTATAACATTTCCTTATTGTAACATTTTGTAATACCTGCTTATCTTAAGAAGAGAACATTACTTTTCCAGTTTCAAAAATATTAGGCATTTTTTTTGTTAGTGTAAAGAAACAACTTTGTAATGAGGTCCTCTCTGATGTCGCAATGAACTTGCATAATTTTTAGATTCCCGCTATTGCATGGTATTTATATATTTTACAATTAACCTGCTTTAAAAGGCATGATATTTCAGAGATGAGGCAATATGAGCAAAGCAGCTTCAGGCTGTAAGAAAGCACAGCATAGGCAACAGGAGACGGCGAAGAGGCTGACAGACACACCCTGCTGCTCTGCATCACCGTTCATGTGTGCAGAATGTGTGCCCACACTTAGAGAAGCCAGCAGTTTTTTCTGTAAAGAATGAGCGAGGCTGGCACCCAGGCATTCAAAAACTGCTGAGTGAAGGCATGGAGATGATTTGAAGAGAGCTTCATTATTGTTAAGGAGATTCTGACTTTTAAAGATTCTAGACCTTTGACCTTGACTCCCTTATTTCCAGCCCACAATAATTAGAGAAAAAGCTATCAGAAAATAAGGGGAGAGGGGACTGATTTCTCTGAGTACCAAACACACTGTTCTTTCTAGATATTTTGGTCCATTAAAGATCATATATGCTACACACAAAGATACGATGTACACACGCAAGATGTACGCATGTACAACACCCTTTTATACTTCAAAGACATATAGTCCTAGCATGAAAAACAAGTTTGTCTCAATTCTTTTTTTTTGGTGAGGAAGATCAGCCGTGAGCTAACATCCATGCTAATCCGCCTCTTTTTGCTGAGGAAGACCGGCTCTGAGCTAACATCTATTGCCAATCCTCCTCCTTTTTTTCCCCAAAGCCCAGTAGATAGTTGTATGTCATAGTTCCACATCCTTCTAGTTGCTGTACATGGGACGCGGCCTCAGCATGGCCAGACAAGCGGTGCATCGGTGCACGACAGAGATCCGAACCCAGGCCGCTAGCAGCAGAGCACGCGCACTTAACCGCTAAGGCACAGGGCTGGCCCAAGTTTGTCTCAATTCTTAACTTTCATAGTTCTTTTAAAATTCTGAGCCATTCCCATCTTTAAAAAAAAAAATTGCTAATAGTAATGCAAAGTTTGACCCCTTCTAAGACTCATTCTTAAGTTAATAACTAGATTGAGGAACTACTGTTTTCTTTTAGAAAATAATTTAGGTCAACCACATTGCTTTATTCTTTCTCAAACCGGCAACTATAGTTTTAGGTACAACCATAAGATTATATTTAATTATTATTACAATTAAAGAAAATAAAATGTGATAAAGCAAAAGCCCAAATTTTTTTATCTGTTCATTTACAGAGTAGGAAAGCAGATTAACTGTATTTAATTCATTATTTTTCACATATTTTTCAAACTTTACACAATTAAAGGGGAAAAATGATGCTTTGATCCAAAGATACAAAAGTTATCATTGGCAATTACGAAAATGATGGTAAAGTTCTTTGCACTTAATACTATTTCTTAAAGACTGCTCATAATGTATAAGCAGTACTCTAAACTCTGAAATTACCAGAACTTTACAGATTTTAAAATATGCTAAGGCTGTGATAAGAACCCATTTCTTTAACAATTCTATTTTAAAGTGCTGTGAGGATACATTTTTTAAATGTCATCTTTCATTCTAATAGAAAAGGAAGAAGGCTGAGCCTACACTTCAAAAGCCCAGATGCTGGATTACTGGATTTCACACTTGCCAACAATTTCACGATTGTCAACTAAACTGCAGACAGAGAACAGACGCTGACTATCTAGAGCAACCACGCTTTCACCGGTCTTTCTTACCATGACTATATCTCCTGGCTGGATCGTGATTTCATCATGACTCCTGGACTCAAAGGGATACAGTGCTCGGTAATACACCACTTTTACGTTCTCCTGTGCAGAAATCGTAAGTGGGCCTTTTTCTGTTTATTAAAAAAATGGGGAGAAGAGAACAGAAATAAAATGTTACATGGAACACAAACACATGACAACAAGCCAAGTTAATGACATCTCCTCCACTGCCTACCTTAACATCTGAACTATTTCCCTCTATTCAAGGAATGTCTGAAACACACACTGAATGCCAAAGGGGAGCCGAATCTGATGTCTGCACCTCAGGCGCATCAGAGAGTTCATTAGTGGACTCTCTGTAAACATAAGTCACCCCAGTGTCAAGTGTGGTGCCGCTGTCTGAGGCCTGATCCTTGCCTCCGGGCCTGGGTTCCAGCAGTGCACATCTGTAAGGCATCAAGGCCCTTCTCCCCACCCAGCGGAGAGTACAATGCAGCAGTTCCAATGTGACCCAAAATCTGAATCAGCCAACTCATTTGGGAGGGAAAGAAGCATAACTTTCCATATTAAAAGACAGGGAAATGATGTTTTAGGCCCTTAACACGGTCATATAAAACACAAGTGCTGATTTCACCAAGAACGGTTATTACTGATAATCCCCAGTGACCTAAGTCTTCCATTTCCTAGGAAAAAAAATGAACCTAAGGATGGACCCTAGATGAAAATAATTTAGCATTTAAATGAAATAAAATTTTAAAAAATGCACGCAAGCGGAGGATATTTTGGATTCTGGTTAACAATAACTACCCGCAGCTCTCTGAACTGTTTACCCAAAAGCTGCAAGCATTTGGACACACGTGTGTTCTCTGAAAAGCAGCGAGGGGGAGGTGTTATCTTCATGCAGTCTCGAACTGAATGATGTGCAAAATTTCCCACTGACCGAAGGGAAAAAAATCCTCATTTTATACCAGGAGAAAGCATGAGGAACTTACACTAATTGCCTAAGATCAAGTAATGGTGAAATTATTTTCAGATCAAAAAAAGTATTACAACATATATTTGCCTTCCTATGGCATGGCCACTCCTGGGTGGCTCTGATGACTTACCAGTCTCTCTCCCTGGACTGCATGCATGTGAAGGCAGGGAGGGTGCCAGACCCAACCCTGAACCCTCACTCCCATCCCTGCCCACTGTGCAAACAGGAAACAAATAAACCTTTATGAACCAGTGTGTTTCTTTCGTTTTTGTATACCAGTAAAAGGAATACTGATGATTGAACAAATAAAATCAACATAATTTGCCATACTAAGGAAAAGGCAACCACTTTCTCCAGCTGAGTATTATCTGCAAAGTTGTCCAATATTATACAGCCCACAAGAATTTTAAAAATACACTCTAGTTTGCATCTGATATAAGAGATAATGTTTTCTAGCTATTTCAAAGTCTTTCATTTATCATTCTCTAAAGAGGCAATTTATGATCAAAGGGCAAAAAACAGTCAGTTTTAAACAGTACAAATTGAAGATAGCAAATGTCACATCAGTGTGGGCCAGGGGGAAAGGTGCCACTTCCTATGGCTGAAAGAGCTCAGAAATTCCCAGAGAAAATAACAAACTGGAGAAGCAGCAGGCTGTTTGGGCAGGAAAGGTTATGACCTCCATGTGGAATACAGTGTACAAATGGGGCTCGGTAATGAAACTTCATGCCACTTCTGTCTGCAGAAGACTTCTAGATGCCAGTGCAATGGTGGCCAAAGCTTGGCATGGTGGTGGAAGAATTAAACAGATATGTAATGATCCTAGAGAATGAACAGCTGCACTGTCCAAAAAAAGGAGACTGACATTCTCAACTCTATTAATATAGCCAAGATAGAGCCTGATTAGATACAGAAATTTCTCAAGAGGATCTGGGAGAAAAGACGGCTTATTTGCTAGAATTATCTTTGGCCTCGGATACCTGCGGTGGACCAGGGTGCTTGGACCACTGGCTTGGCTGGTTCCTGGTGTGGATGGAAAAGCTGACTCAGCTTGTCTTGCATCTCTTGTTTGCCTTTTTCCTCACTCTCCTTCTTCTTGACACTCTCTTCCCTTTTGAGTTTCTCTTCATCGTGGAGTCTTCTTGGCCGCTGATGCTCCTCGTCCTGCTGCACGTGCTCAAGCCACTGCCTGTCCCTCTCCTGAGCTCGTCTGTCAACAAAATGCTTGATTACAGCAAGGAAGCAAATCCAACTTAACACTGCTGTTGTCTCTTTTCAAAAAAACCCCTTCTAGACAATGGGATGCTAAACATCAAGGGGACAGCGTTCTTCAGATGCAGCAATCTGAATCAACGAAACGAAGGCGCTCAGGGCTCCAATTCTGAGCAAGACAAAATCACACGACTTAGAAAAACATAAAATTTCTGGATGTATCTTATAAAGTGATTAGAAAAATAACAAAAATACTTCTCACATTACTAAGCAGTAGTTACTCTATATTTTACTGAATTTGACTACTTTGTGTTTGTTTTTCAAAGTAGCTGATACAAAGAGATAATCACAATTAAATCTAGGCCTTGAAAATTCTGATGGCCTCAACCCGAAACCCATAGGAAAAGACTGGAAACAATTTTTCTCTCATTCCACAATATTTTATAAAACCAGAAAATACTTTATATGAAACTAATGTGCAATAATAAATGATATAATGTTTTTTTTTTTTTTTAAAGATTTTATTTATTCATTTTTTTCCCCCCAAAGCCCCAGTAGATAGTTGTACGTCATAGGTCCGCATCCTTCTAGTTGCTGTACGTGGGACTCGGCCCCGGGTTGGACGGAGAAGTGGTGCCTCGGGGCGCGCCCGGGATCCGAACCCGGGCCGCCAGCATCAGAGCGCGCGCACTTAACCGCCAAGCCACGGAGCCGGCCCAAATGATATACTGTTAATAATAACTAGTCCTCCAAATTTATTAACTATTTTAACCCTGACACCAGGTAGGTAGGTCTTATTGCTATCATCCCCACTTTACAGATAAGGAAAATGAGGCAGAGATATTAAATGACTTGTCCAAGGTCACACAGCCACACCTGCCAGGGGTTCAGTCCCAGGCAGCCCGGTTCTGGAGTCCACACCCTGAACCACTATCCTGTGACACGGCCAACGCATAAAGGTCATCTCCTGGAATTAGGAAACTGCCAAGGGAATGTAATATAAACAAATAAAACTTTTATTCTCCATTTAAAAAATATTTATTTCTACTCTGTATGAATGTGAAAAATTAGTGCAGCAGAATTCTTTTTAACTTAAATCTTTAACATTTTACTTACAATTTTCAAAATATCTTAAGAAAGCATAAAAAAACATTTTTTTGGGGGGTAGGGATGTTAATTGTTATTCCTAACAACAATAACAAAAAACATAATAAAATTTGCTTACATTTTCTATTAATAAAGGTCACCATTTATACTGTATAACCATGTTATTTCTAAAGTTAAATTTTGGGTACTATTTATCATACAATTATAAGCAGAAAATTTAAGCTTTCTGTATTATGATATTTTGTGTTTATTTCTACTCTGTAGGAAATGTGAAAGTTCAGAGCAGTATAGTGTGAATAATAAACCTGGAAGATAAGAAAATGATGGTGTCAGAGTTAATCAACACATCCAAGGAATTAATCCTTGGTATGTAATCCTAGTCCTACTCCCAAGAAAACCATAAAGCAGTTCTCTAAGTTGGTTTGAGACCCTACCCACCTACCCACTGGCATGAAAAAAAAAAAAAAAAACCCAAAACACCAGACTCAGAATTATATATATAACCACAACAAAAGGTGCAACATGTTGGGTAGTTTAACTGAGCTCGGCCCACTGAAGTCAACGACTAACCTAAAGTATCTGTTTCTTCACCTTTTTTCTCTCATTTCAGTAATCAATTTTATAATTTATACTATATCACTGGAATATTCGGTCATTTTTGTCTCTTAGAGTCTAAAATCAATTTGAAACTTAAAAAGCAAATATCCAACTACAAAATCAGACACACCACAAGTTCAAAAATAAATATCTACAATTTACTAGAATTTATTACAAATAAAAATAAAAAACTACAAACACAAATATTCAAAGAAAAATGTGTCTGTATCCTAAGAAGCAGTGGCAAATTTCCTCCCTCCGAACTCAAGCGTAATTTGCAGTTGAAAACAAGAAGAAAGAAGACAGAGTGGCGCACTGTGAGTGCCACTGGAGAAACCCTGTGTGGCCAGCGAGCTCAGGGACTTTGATGGCAAACCCAGCACTGTGACCGCCACTGTTATTAAAAGGCTGTGAACTGGAAAAGTATTTTGGTCATTGGCATGCAAAGGAGCACACCAAGTGTCCCAATTTCCTTGTCTAATTCCGTTTATCTACGGAGTAGTAGCTTGGGAGAGCTCTGGGAACTAACCAAAAACGTCAGGGGGCACTTGTATATGCAAAGACTTATATATACACGGGTTTGTGCTTACACACACGCACACACACACACATTCAAGACTGAAGGCTCTTTCTGATCCAGTAAGTACTTGGAGAAGCCAGGCACAGAAATAGTAAACATTCAAAGCTCCTTCCAGATGGGTCCACAATTAACTGCTGAAAAGACTCACCTTTGGGCTTCTTCTTTTTGTTTTTCTAATTCTATGATCTTTCGCTCTTGTTCTTTCTGTTTCAGCCGTTCAGCCTCCAGGGACTTTTGTTTCTGGAGCTGCTGCTTATTATGTATTCCTCGTAGTTCCTACAAATAATCAAGAAATAGTTCAGCAACGAGATGCAGTGACAGGCGCTCCTATTGTTGATCAGCATGCAACCCTTCCTATGGGGAAGCCCAGACACTCAGGAGATAACATTTCAGATTTGAAACACGTTAATTTGGAGGAACTAAAATCACCCTACGTCTTGACATGACTGATCTCCAAAAGCTGTTCAAGATTATATTTTAGTAGCCATAACACATTACACCATTTTCCATGATGTGCTTTAGAAGGAACTTGCTAGTGGAGGGCATAGAGAAGCCACACCGCTCAAGACTCAGCAATAATAATGGAACATAACCAGTTTTAAGGTACAAGGATGATCATGAATAAAACCTTAAGGTCCTAATGATAATGAATCAATATCAGTCTCTACTGGCTTTGAAAATACACACACTCCTTCACACACGACCTCCATTAAAACTTCACCTCCTTCTTATGCTATGCTGCCTTAGAACAAATGGATAACCTGTTCCACAACCTCAATTCTCCCCACCAAGGTCTGTTTTTCTTCAAATGACACCTCTCCCAGAGCACCTTCTCTTACTAAATCCATGTGTGAAGTTGTCAGCTGCCCCAAACTAAACCAGTATTCAGGTTGGTTATAAAAGCTATAATTATAAAAGCTATAATTTGATGATCACCACCTTGGATCTGATTTCCTCATTTGATACTAGCCACAGGAATAAGAGTAATCTCCTTAGCAGGCTACTTAAGTATTCAAGTCAGAAGTTTAAATACCCAAAAGTATGAAGAACAACGAAATGCCTGTTGAGGGGGAAACCCTATGATTCCACAGGAATCAAACAGTCACTAACAGATTCAGTCACCAGAATCCTTCTTATTTGTGTCAACAGTAAATCAGATGAGTCAAAGTGTCCAATAGAGCCAAGGGTGTATTTCCAGTTGACTTCTTGGTCTGGCTAGTAACTAGGGTTAGTCCCCCAAGTGGGCAGCCCAGGGGTCTACATGGTGAGATCTAAGAACCAAGGCCTGCCCTGTCTTCTCTTGCCTTGCTTATTGGCAAGAAATCCAGATGAGTAGGTTTCTTCCTGCCTTATTGCTACCTTTAGATTCATTCAGAGACTGAACAACAAAGGTGGATGGATCGGTGTTAAAATGCACTTATTCCTAGAGAAAAGCCCTAAAGTAGGCTAACCTTTCCTACTAGCTGGACTATTCTTACGATACAGTTAGAATGCATGTACAAGCATTTTGTATACTATACGTGAAAAAGTTTAACTGGAGATCATGACATTGGGGGAGGCAAGTACCAGGCAGGGAGGGAGGACAGGAGGGAAGGAGGCACTCAAGAGAGGGGGAAGGAAGAAAGGGCTTCAGTGTGGAACTGAGTAAATGAGACTGGGAACATCTAGGCAGGATGCAGCAGGAAAGGCACAAATTGGTGGACTATTCCTTATGGCAGCAGCCCTGGGCACATGACTTCCAAATTATGAAGGGTATCTGAGACAGAAGTTTAGCTATGGAGGGGGCATGGCAGGCCAAGAATGGAGACTGGAAAGTAATGATGAAACCTCACTCTGACTGTTCTGGGGGCTGGCCTGGTGGTGCAGTGGTTAAGTTCACACGCTCTGCTTTGGTGACCCAGGGTTTGCAGGTTTGGATCCCAGGTGTGGACCTATACACCACTTATCAAGCCATGTTGTGGCAGGCGTCCCACATATAAAGTGGAGGAAGATGGGCACAGATGTTAGCCCAGGTCTAATCTTTCTCACTAAAAAAAAGAAAATCAATACCAGGAAAAAAGAACTCCATTTTTCATTATCTTTCTCACTGCCATACACCATGGGATATAAAACTTTAATGTTCAATATTTAGCAGTATTGCTTTTCATAGTAGTTTGGAATCAAACATAAATAGTAATCTCTGATAGAATGAACAAAAAATCTGGTAAATATTTTGGATTTGATATTTCAGAGACAAACGGAAAAAACAGGCCAATTTCTATTGTTAGAGTAATCTGCATTCTTGGTTCAAGTTAATATCTCTACATGAAAAGGAAAACTGCAGTGGGGTGATGTCAAATCAAACTCTAAATTTGATTCCCTGAGAAAGGGACCCAGAAGTCAGCCCCTGCACAGATAGGGATGGCCTGCTCTATCATTAGCCCAATGGCCAAGACCCTTTAAAAGGAAGGGTCAAAAGTAGCCGAAAGGTTTACTTTTTTCTCTATTTTAAAATTTCACCTTCATTTGCATAAAAATTTTAAATAAGTTCAGAAAAATAATTTAAGGCAATGGACTATAAAAAGGTAATGGGCCGGCCCCGTGGCCTAGTAGGTAAGTTCGCACCCTCCTCTTTGGCGGCCTGGGGTTTGTAGGTTCGGATCCCAGGCGTGGACCGAAGCACCACTTGTCACGCCATGCTGTGGTGGCGTCCCATGTAGAAGAGAGGAAGATGGGCACGGATGTTAGCTCAGGGCCAGTCTTCCTCAGCAAAAAGAGGAGGATTGGCAACGGATGTTAGCCCAGGGCTGATCTTCCTCACACACACACACAAAAAAGGTATTGAACGGGGAAGAAAGAGACTCAGATTCGAATATCAGCTCCCTGATAAGGGCCAGCAGCTGAATCAGAGTACGTGATCTTTAGGGTTTTTTAGTTTTAAGATCTGTTAAATTCTTAGACACTGTTCATCACATAAAAATTTATTCTTTATTTCAGTGTCTCTTTGTTCAGGGTTTTATTCTTATTGCAGGAATAAACCAAAAAAGTATAACTAGTAAGCAAAATAAATCCGAGCTGAAATTAAATGCAAAAGAAATGACAGAGAAGGAGTAACATTTTAGTTTCATGGTCAGGAACCTGACCATTTATTTAAAAAGTTCTTACTTCATCCACGAAAAATGTATTTATAGGCAGAGTGATATTCAAAATATTTAATCAGAGGTGCTACACAAGCCGTGGACACTCAGAAGGGACGCTGGCCGTGATGTACCAATGCACCAGGTGGGCCAGGGGCACGGATGGAGATTTTTCATTTTACCAAAGAATTACACTGCACATTTCCTTTCTATTCTGGTCTCTGGTTAACTGAATGTTGATTTATTGATCAATAATTAGCAGATACAAAGTCAAAAGAAATGAAAGTAAAGCTAGTAATGTATTAGGAGGCACTATAAAATGAAAAGCAGTCAGTGAATTTAGACAATGTGTAGAAAAAAACCTATGCTAATGAGATAGTTTTAAAAATAATTTTTAAATGTATCAAATATATAAAGGAAGATATTTAAAAGTTTTTAAAGCAGGGGCCGGCCCGGTGGTGCAAGCAGGTAAGTGCGTGCGCTCCGCTGCGGCGCCCCAGGGTTTGCAGGTTCGGATCCCGGGTGTGCACCGAGGCACTGCTTGGCAAGCCATGCTGTGGTGGCGTCCCATATAAAGTGGAGGAAGATGGGCACGGATGTTAGCCCAGGGCCAGTCTTCCTCAGCAAAAAAAAAAAAGAGGAGGATTGGCAGATGTTAGCACAGGGCTGATCTCCCCACAAAAAAAAAAAAAGTTTTTAAAGCATATTTTTTTTTGAGTATAGCAGCATTGTACGATAGGCTAAACCTATCTTCCGGAACTGTCTAAATCAGTTGCAGCTTCAAATACCTCCAAGGAAATGGAGCTCACAGGAGCCATAAAAGAACAGATGTCAAATAAGATAATGGAAGGCTCTGTTATCTTATGATTCAGATTTGAAGACTGCAAAGTTCTTCTATCCTTTCCTTCATCCAACTCAAATACTGCTGAGATACACAATCAATTGTAAGAAAATCAAGACGCTGCAAATAGGCAGGCATTCCAGGTTTTCCTCTCTTTTCCTGGACTTGGGAGTTTAAGATGGCATGAACCAAAATAAGCAGAAAATTTATGATTCCTAAGTTGATAATTTTTTAAAAAAGTTGAACTTCTGAGAAGGCAATCTATAGAATGAAGGAATATGCACTAAAAACCAGTTAATAACTTGTCTTCCTGTGCATGATGAGGACCTTGTGGAACACCAAGTCCTTTTATGTGGGAAGCAGAGGTCTGCACTGTTTCTTCATTCCTGCTCAATACTGTTTAAGAGACTCAAGTACAATCACAGTTATTTAAAAGAAGCCTTTTAATTCTTTCAGAGACAACCTTTTTAAGGTGACATCAATCTGGTGTCATTAAATTCTTCATTTACTTAGGAAATGGGAGAACTGTTAGGAGAAGCAGCTAAGAAACACTTCACCCCACAAATTGTATCAACTTTTCCTGGTGGTCAACTTGATTAAAGTGACCTGGAAAATTTTATTGAGTCTTGTCACAGTTATTTCTCTATTATAACTAAGATAAAAATAGAACAAATAAGAAATTACTAAGAATCAAAACTCAGTATCTCACTTGTGGCTCTTCCTAAAATTAACTTATTTTTTTCCTAAAATCAAGAACTCTACAATCGCATATTTATTGCCTGGCTATCTAGCAATATGGTATTGAGTGTAAAACTTTGTGGATTTTTCTTTATGAGTTCTATTCAAGGGTATGATACATTTACACCAAGTAATAATTTACAGTAAATTACAGTAGTGTGCAATAATTTAATATTATCTCCTAATAAAGTATAATTACTTTCTTAATAAATAAGAAATAATTAAACATGCATTTGAGAAGTTTTAGCTATATGTTACAAACATATGGGAAAAATAAAACTCCTATAAAATGTGCAGTATATATAAACTAAAATAATAAGATTTTTATCACCAATAATATCTACAGGATTCTAAGATATAGCAGAGTTTCTTACCCAGGGTTCATGAATAAGCTTTGGCTCTGTGAACACTATGAAACTGCAAATAATCTGGGGTATATGGGCATTTTTCTTGCAGAGAAGGCTCACAGCTTTTATTTGATTCTCAAAGGGGTCTTTGATCTAACACAGATTATGAACCACAATAAGAAAATGATTGGCAAATAAAGATTCTGTCTTGTATTAATTGAGATAAATGAAAAT